TATTAAAAATTTATTTTAATTAAATTTATTATATTTTATAAATTAAAATTTATTAATTATTTATAACTTTAAAAAAAAACGCTATTTTATAATAAATCTTTCTTTTTTTTTAAAAAAAAAATTAATATAATAAAAATATATATATAATTAATATTATAATTAAAAATTACATAATTACCTAATTTTGCTAATTACTTATATAATTTAATATTTAAATTAAATATTATTTTATATATATATATAAATATTTAAACTTTATAATTTATTAATATTTTAATTTTTTAAAATATTATTATTTTTTTTATTAACCTTTTAATTTTATAATAATTAAATTATAAATTTTTAATTAATATAATAATATAAATATATTATATTTTTTATATATATATATTATTACATTAAACCTTTAAAAAATTAATAAAAACTATTAAAACTATTAAAATTTTAAATAAAATAATTAATAATAAAAATATTTTATTTAACTTTTTATATAATTATAATTAATTTAAAAATATATTATATATAAAATATAATTAATTATAATATTATTTTTATAATAATAATTTTTTTTTTATTAATTATAATTTTAAATTTTTACTATTTTACTATTTTATTTATTTTATTATTTTAATATTTTAATATTTTAATATTTAAACCTATAAATTATTTTGATATATTAACGGTTTAGCAACTTTCGGCTCCTCGCGCATTATACATTTCCGTAATATCTTAGGTTACTCCAATCTCCATTCAAAAGCCCTAATCGACTATCTCCATTCGTACTGTCGCATATGAGACAGTCGACTGCTACCTTACGACGATAACTATGTCTGAGTCATATCGAACCTTGATGGTAGATACCTCGTATTTGTAAGCTGAGTATGTATTCGAAAATTCTAGCTACTTGTTTTCGTATGACGTTTTGATAAACAAAGAAACTATTTAATATCACAGGTAAATACTACGGATTCTACAAACCCTAATTAACTAACCCGTGGAGTGGTATGATGAAAGTCCGGAATTAGGGATTAATGTGGTATTTCCGAACTGGACGGAACTTGTTTTGCCATACGAGTAAGGGGTGATGGGCTTCTTTCTTTTCCTTTCTTTTTCTATAGCCTACCTAATCTATATAGTAAACCTAATCATCTCGGCAAGTTGAGCCATCTTCCATCAACGTAGCTACCATTGAAATGCGGTAGAGGGTATAAGCCATAACTATGAGTAGCTAGAATGTCTGGCTTGAATATGACATCAATTATCAATTAGAGAAATTACCAAGGTGCGTATTAATACTTGAGATAAACTTAATTCCACAATTCTATTCTATAGCAATAGCTAGTTAAACGAAAGAAACGTTCTTTGGCTAATATTATTATTGACCACCAAGTGTGTTTTTAATAACCTACCTAAACAGCTACTATTGTTACTATGCATGGTACTGATCACATACTTAAGTACTGAGGTTATAGCTCTGATGTTTCTTTTATAGTAAATCACTAACTTCGCAAACTATAATGTTTATTGATGTGTTCATAAATGCAACAGGATCTTCTAGGAAACATTGTCTTGTGTTTCAACTGTTTAGGAAGGCTAGGTAGTCTTGTTGATATTTGAAGTAGATACAGAAGAAATAGCTAATCCTCGATTTAATGTGGCGAACCTTGATATCGTAAATAGGAGAAAAGGAGAAAAGGAGAAAATAGAAGGGTGGGCGAGGTAGGAGGCCACACGGCGGTAATACAAAGAAGAAAGAGGGTTTGGTTCAGAAGAGGAGACGCACGAAGTCACTCGAGAATACGAATAATAGCAAGGGTTGCTATTTGGGTAGGTATGAGGTAGTTATTACGGCGACGAGCATCAAGGCAAAATCCCGTAGGGCTAGTCTCTTCCCCTGGAACTTGGGAGCTAAGCCTGGTGTATCTCATATATTTCTAACAAGCAATATTTCTTTTGGTATAAAAAGGATTCATGAGAACACATGAAACTGTTTGGTGTATTTTATTATTTCATTCACAATTACATAACCACATGGTTAGTATCGATTAAATTTGAACCTGATGGAGAGTGCGGTTCGTTTCCATCGTCTTTATATTCGACGGTGTCTACCGACACGTGAAATTTGACATACAATGTGGCCCCCCTTTTCCAATGACTAACTCCTCGCTGCCTCAGAATTGAAAAAACCAAAAACAAAAGGAACTGTCTTTAACAAGTTAAATGATTCAGAGTTCGGGTACATTAAGATCGTCCTTCTCATAGTGAATTATAAGCTTTACGCCCTTTTCAGCGGCAGAATCCCTCCAAGCACTGACCATTATCTTCCCTGGTTTGAAGCCCTTGGTGCGTATTACAGCTTTACCAGCATGGTATTCATACGTAAGGACGAACCACTCCAATTGTCCATCAGTAAGGACATATTGACAGACGCGAGCGAATAGCAGCGCTGGCATACGGCGGGTCGCCCGCCCGATCGCTACGAGAACGTTATGAACGGATGCTAAGGCTTCAACCCTATTCGTGACACGCAAATATGGCGCCTTCATCATGTACGAGTTGCGTATGTTAAGCCTCTTCAACCGCGAAAAGAAGGGCACCTCTTGGCCCTTAGGCGGCTCTGCTATCCCCGGCCCAACGAGGAACGGTGTAAAGAATTGGAGAGCGTCGATGCAATCGTCGAATTCGAAAGATTCGCACTGCTGACCGAATGCCCGCATGTGGGCGTAAAAGGCCGACCACGGCTGTCTTGGAGGTGTGTGAGCTGGCGTTAGCATTGGGCTGGGGCGGCGTAGACTAAGAACTCGAATTGTTTCGGAATACTGGAGGCCCAAAGCAAAGCCTAATTGTGTGTCCGTGGAGTTAGCAGGGGGGTGATAATAGCATCGAGTCAAGCATTGTAAGTAATAGTAAGTAGAGGAATGATCTAATGAGCAACAATAAATGATACTACTTACTATTTCTCTGTTTGACGTCTCGGTGGCGTGTTGAGTCGTGGTTGAGTTCAACATCAAGATATTCCAATGTCTGAAGCCTAGACACAATAGCTAGTATAGATGTCGGTTGCAGATGTCTCCCGGTGCATCGAAACCCGCTGAAGACGTCAATGTGTGGTAATGATACGGCCTCTAGGTCAAGTTTTAGGTACGATGTTAAAGCTCGCCCCGTCACGAGGGGCCCCCCATTCCTACCGACCAAGGACGACGTATCACTAGGTGAATCGACGAGAAGGTGAAGGTCCAGGCCGAGAGGAGAGGTATCACTCCTCTGCCACTGGGTCATTGCCCGAAAGAAAGTCCCAAGGGCCGTACTCAAGATCTCGGTGCTCCGTCGTCTCTCTGCCCATGTTTCCTGCTCGCCATCAAGGTGAGGGTCGTATTTGTCGAGGGAAACATGGAAACAGATCGTCTGGACAATTGCCCTGCGCCGCGGCGAAGTTACGATCTGACAAAAGGACTTGAGACGTTTCGGAGTCACACGTATGACCTTGAAGCTAATAGGCTCGACAAATTCCTCTTGCCATTCCCTGGATACCGTTGCGTAATGCGCAATAGTCGATATTGGTCCTTTTCGCCAGTCGTTAGAGTTAGTTTGCCGCGCCACAAGAGAATATATCGTCTGGCGTACCTCGTACGGTAACGAGTTCAGCGATGGTGCCGCTGCCATGGTCGGATGGCGGTTAGGGAAAGAGAGCGAAAATAAGAACAGCTCAATAAAGGGGCTACGGAAAGCCGGTCGTGTAAATGGGAGGATACTAATTTAGATGGAAAAGGGAGCACACGCCTCCAAAGGCGGGGCGACATGTTGAAGATTCCCATGTTGGGATAGATGGGATTTTGAATTTGCCACGCGGGCCCCCCTTGGAGAATTTCGTGCATATACATAGTATCCGTTCCTAATTCCCGGATCCTCTTTAAGGCCCTTTGAATCGCTCTAGACCGGTCGGCAGCAACCGGTGGACTAATAAGTGCCGGCGACGACTGGAATATCAATCATGTAAAACAGCTAACCCAACACCAACCCTTCCCTTAAATAAAAAGAGAAGTATTCTTTCAACCCATACCTTACTTACCTTAGGTAGGTATTCTTAAAATCAAGTTTATACTGGATGATGAAAGAAGCTGAGCATTAGTAACTAGCATATTCTCTTATTGTTGCCTCATTAGGTAATGGTTACTCTTATCTTACATACTCGTGAACCCTGAAGACATAGGTAGCATCTCTAGCCGAGGCTTTTTACATAGAAGACATAATTTAGAGGGATATTCTACATACCTAGGCTAATTGGTTGGTGTAGAGAGGCCACCGAGTGGGACAACTCGCTCCTCAAAAGCCCGGGGAACTTCCACATGGCATATGCGTAAAAGAACGGCCCCCACAATGCATGCAGTTACTTTATAACCTACCTGGGTAAGTATATGGGTGGGCTGTTCCGCCAGCTTCCGCCATGCGTACCTAAGATAGAACAATATAAAGCCGCGACAGAGCCCCTCCACAATTACGGTACCTTCTACGGGACAATACAAGTAGTCCAGAATACCGTCTTATAAGATGGTCTTCACTCATCGGTTATTGAAGACTCGAATCTTGCAAACCGGCCTCTCTTTCACTTATCATATCCCCGTCTCTTAGACGGTGGAAACACGATAGGGCTAGTAACTGGAAGTAAAGACTATGTACTTAGACATGGGAATTGGCTACTTTTATATTTAAAAAAAATCTCATAATCGACCTGGGGGGAAAACAACTCTTCTAAAGTAACGTACGTAGGTGCGGAATGGACGAGGTATCCATGGAGGGGTCTTGACGGTTGATAAGAGCCTTGCTTTTCCGCTGCTGCGAACTCCAAAGTGCCAAGTCACATCCGCCAGGGCCGTGACCAACGGGAAGATTAGGAACCTGCTGATCCTCCACCGGGAATCTGCATCCAACACCTCATTTCGCGCCAGACCGGTGAAGACAGCTTTAGTTGACTGCAATACGACGTCGGTTTAAGGCTGCCGGGGTTCCAATGGGTCTTGACGATGAGCCACCCACGAGCTGCCGCCTTGCTGGGAAAGGATAGATAGGCACCAATCAACGAAGTGTAGAAATAGACGATATAAACCGCGGGCAGCCGTCATGGAATGGGCCCTGATCCGGGCGGGTGATCATACTCACACCTTCAATGACGAAGGATCTCCAACCTAAACACCCAGTCGGAGCTAAAAGATGGGCCTCTACGGCTTAAACTATCGATGTATATCGTTCCTTTTATGCGCGTGTTTAATATTGGCGAGACCCGTGAAACGCGCCCCTCTCGAATACCTACAAACCACTCAACACGGCGACGTCGCCTTCGGGCTTGGCGACAAGATTTACTTAGCAAACATTCGGTACCCCAAGACGATCCTCGGCGGGAACGACCGGGCTGCGGCAAACCGGCAGGGTTCCTTGGTACCATTCGCTGTCGTATTTGCAGACAGAGAAGTTGTAACTGCCGAGTATTTGCGAGATATTATTGCGAGCTACTTAGAGGGTGACGACGTGTTCTCGGAGGACTTCTTGGAGGGTGTATACATTGTCAATAATGGCACGAGCAACAGCCAGATCCTGGATGCAAGTGCGCTTGAATACCTGGACGATCTTGCACCGCAGCATTTACTCTTAGATGTCAGTTTTGAAAGTAGCTGTTGTAAGTTCTCGGACCATCCCGCCTCGATGGCTCGCGCAACTCCCCCGTGAGACTCTCGAGCTGACCATCCTTAAGATTCCACGGACATCGTAGTAACTTACGTCGGGGACTCAAGTGCTAACAACCTCACTGCTGGGCCATACGCCGCGCTGGTTTCGGATGGCTCGATAGTGTTCGGGACAGTGTACCGACTCTATCGCGACTCATACCGCAACTTTCTCTATGGCGCATATGAGTCCAATGATGGGGAGGGCAGTTTTAGACCCGTAGAAATATTCCAGCCCCGATTCTGGGACCCCATGATCCCAGTGCCATCCCGTATTTACAGCTGGGACGACACGAGGCCACTCGCAGGTTATCGAGTCGCGATCAAAGATCTATTCGACATAAAGGGCCTAATCACATCGGGCGGCAGCCAGGCATGGGCGGAGATCGTCGAGGTTGCGAACGAGACTGCACCATCCATCCAACGGATAGTTGATTTAGGTGGTGTTCTCATCGGCAAGTATAAATTGGCGCAATTCGCATCGGGTGCGAATCCTTGGGACTGGCAAGACGAGCATTACCCATTCAACCCGCGCGGCGACGGTTGGCTTACGTGCTCTGCCTCATCCTCTGGTGGTGGCTGCTCTGTAGCTGCGTACGACTGGCTTGACCTTGCAATCGGCTCGGATACCGGATCCTCGATGAGACGACCTGCTGCGGTGTCCGGGACCTACGGGAATCGACCGAGCCAGGGGCTAATGACGCTTTCCAGAGTCATGCCGCTCGGTGCGGCGACAGACACAGCAGGAGTATTCTCCCGAAACGTGCGCGATTGGGTGCGCTTCGCTAAGAACTGGTACGTCCCTGAGATGTGCCAGGACACTTCGATCACGGGTTTGAGCCCCCTCGAAGCACCCGACTCATATGGCTTCCCAAAGCGCATCTTGTATCTCACCGACTACTTACCCCTGAAGAACCCGGCCGCGGAAGAGATACTTCAGGGGTTTATCCGAAATCTGACGACGGTTTTTGGGATGACGGTCGAAGATTTTAATTTGACTGCGGTTGTTGGTAACACAACTGGCGAAGTCCCTAAATATGACGCTCTAAATAACGCCACGGCCGTCATTAACTCTGTGACGCAGTACCAAAAGGTGGGTAAACCGCTTATTGCAGCATGGGGGGAACGATATGAGGGTCGCTTTCCACCGATCGACCCAGCCCAGCGGCCCAGATGGAAGGCGTACAACGAATCGTTGTATACCGATGAGCTGTATAACCGGTCTCTAAGTGTTAAGCGAGCGGCCGTAGACTGGTTTGAATCGGAGATACTATACTCAACCCCGGAATCGTGCAGTGAAAGCATCATGCTGTGGGACATTGGCACAGGCGGGTTGCCGAGCTACCGGGAAGAATCTCTCAACAGCGATCCCAACACGACAGCCTTCCTAGCCGTGACACCGCAAACGGCAGGTATCAATGGGGCCAGCTTATGCCCCATATACGGATGTGTCGACATGACGATTCCGATCGGGCAAGTCCCCTACTTGAGCAATGTGAGTTTCATCGAGGAGATGATGCCGGTTACGGTGAGTGTTATTGCAAAAAGAGGCTGCGACTTTATGCTGTGGAACATGTGGGAGAAGCTTGCGGATGAGGGTGTGTTGAAGACTATTAAACCGGGAAGGACAGCGTTTTGATTCTCGAACAAGGTGTAAATAATACAAAAACAAACACACACCTCCTTATTATCCACGACTTACACCCGACTTACACCTAAGCCTCCCCTTTTAAGCGCCATCGTATAACTTTCATATACGTATTAGACTTGCGTCACCCATCTTGTTAAGAGAACTTATTCAAAGAAGGTTATCACTCGCCAAGAAAAAAATAAGCATCTATACGTAGGACGTAGGATGTAGGATGTAGGTACGACATGCAATGCAACGTAGTGAATACGACGAGATGCAATCTGTTTTCCGCTAACGCCACATACCTAAATGAAGTCTGGTATTAGATATAAGGACCATTCGAGTGTTACTTTGAAGGATGCAGGATTGCATTTCAGCTTGGTGGCATTTTTGGTATTTTTTTTAAGCATCTTTGCGAATGTGACCACGTATGTTTACCTTATTTACCTTATTTAGGCTGGCTTTTACATGCATACCAGGTACTTACCTATGAAGGTTAAAAGGGGGTTTAAAAGGCTCGGTGTGTCTACTGTCTAAAAGAAAAAAAGAAAAAAAAATATATATGGCGCCACCAAGCCTTGCTTCTTCCTTTGACCTCTCATAAACCTCTGCCTCGCAAACATATATCACTATAGAACGCTATTCAATATCATTATAGTACATGATTGTTTTTTTAACATCCAAACCACTTAACATCCAAGCCGCCCAGGTATCGCAGATAACAGTATGCAATAATAACAATAATAATACAAGCCATGCCTTATACTCGATAACATCGCAAAACCCAGAAGCATCTCTAACAAAATTATCGAAATACAAAAGACTTAGAAATCACATGGCTGTTCATCAAATATGCTGAACGAAAAAGGAATAACCAAATGGCCCATCCGACTTCTAGGGCTTCTAGGGTATAATAAGGAAACGGTGTCGTTATGTGGCATGTCATCTTGAATTTGACCATGGCGCATGAAAGGACGTACGGTGAGTCGGCTCGAAGTTGTCCACTGATAGATATATCGCGATATTGTCCGGAACGGCGTCGGTTGTCAAAGGTCGGTGACGGTCGGCCGGAGCAAAGCCGTGCAAATTGACAGCTTATTAACTCAGTGGAACGGCAAATGCAAGAGCATTTCTTCTGGCGTCATCACAAATGGCTACCCACTCATAGCCATCGAATCTCAGTCGGCGCATAATCTGGTCCTGCATACCCCCCCCCCTGGTGGTATGCCCTATTTCCAACATGGAAACAAACGAGATAATATAATAATATATAGTACAGGAGCAGGTCGGAGACTCGTTGCCGAATTAGTAAGGTTATCGATTGGAATAAAAAATGGTTCCCGAGTAATTACTCGAGAGGCCATTTTCAGCAAGAGAATGGAAATATGCGGATTGCATATGCCGAGTTCGACGAATCAGAAGTCATCGAGTCTTTTACTCGGCAGCTGCATCAACGGGTCCTCGTCAAAATCCGGCTTGTCGCACCACATGCTGTCTAGCCCAGTCCCGAGCCCAGTCCCGAAAGACGGTACTTGACCCACGGTAGGAACCTGAGCCGGTTGCTGGAAAGGCATCGAGGTGTACCATTGCTCTTCTTGCTGCGTTGGCGCCGGTTGATATTGGTTTTGAACCTGATGAGCCTGTTGCACGGAAGGTATCTGAGGTTGCATCGGCTGGGAAGAATAATTCGGTTGATTCACTTGTTGATGAATCGGCTGATGCACTAGCTGGGGGATTTGCTGAGGGAACGGGAACTGCGCCATGGTTTGCACCATGGTTTGCGCCATGGTTCGCTCCATGACAGACGTCGTGTCTAGCGAATTTGGCGCATACGCCGCCATATGTGGAGACTGGTGCGTGTAAAAGCTATCATGACCTGGCGCGCTGTAATCTGAAATTCCCGTCGTGAAGCTATCAGGGCTATTGATATCTTGGATTGAGTTAACCATATTCCCCGCCGCATTGTACGGAATTTGTATTGGGGGCATTGGGGGCCGCACAGGTTGCTGCCTCGGCATATGGTACTGTTGTTGTATCGGATTCGTGCTCATCATCGCGAAGGCAGGGAGGTTCTGATCCGGTACATAGTACGGTTGCTGCGGTGCGGTGGCCGTTCGCTGAAGCCCTTGAGTTGCGGGATGTTGAAACGGCTGGACCATTTCGCCATGGTATCCGTGGGCGTCTCCAAACTCGCCGCTGTCCGAGTCGGAAGAGAAATCTACCATCCCTGAATGAATATCCCCCTGGTGGGTTTGCCTTTGATGTCTAACCATCGTTGTCTTCCGGCAGAATCTATAAGGCGCGTTAGCAGTTGCTTCTGAGGATGATAAATCTCGCGCTACCTTTTAACGCAACCCACGTGAGGGCACTTATAAGGCCGTTTGCCGGTATGGATACGTCGATGTCGAGCCAGACTCGAAGACTGAACGGGTTAGCAGGTCTGCTCAATACCATGAAGTCCGATGAAGAAGCACTTACATCCGAGAAACGCTTGCCGCATCCAACCTGTTGACATTGATGAGGTTTTTCGCCGGTGTGAGTGCGGATATGGACCGTCAAGGCGCTACGTTGTATGAAGCTCTTACCACATCCTTCATATGTACAGGCGTACGGTCTCTCATTCGTATGTATCCGGTAATGCCTTTGAAGGTCCGATTTTCGATTGAAACACTACGTTCGTATAAATAACTCGGATCACAACTATGGCGACGGCCATGGCGACGATGACGGTGCATGACTAGGAAATGGTAGCACTTACCTTTTCGCAATTCTCCCAGTCACACCTAAAGGGTCGAGCCACTGGCTCATGGTCAACAATTTCTGTCACATCCATCTCTCTGGTGACCCCAAGATCCAGGACCCGGGGATCAGCAGTAGTGAAGTGTGCGAATGAGACTTACTTATATGTCTTACAGTGCGAGCCATGACGCACAAGGTATATGAGGGCTGTGGATCCAGGCCCAAGAGTCCCTTAAGGCGAAGAGGCAGGGATAGCGTGGGTCACTCAGAGGCAGCCCCAAGTGTGGATGATACCCTTGTTCGGAACTGTTTATAAGCGGAATCTTCAATGCGACGCCGAGATTGAAATCTATGCGTGGGGACGTTTTGGTTCCAGATATTCGGTGCGAGCGATATGAGAAACCCATGCGGAGGGGCCTGGTTAAATAGGCATGCGAGATTGTCGAGCGCCACACAGGAGCGATAGGATAGTTTGAAGTCGACTGAAGCTTAAGAAAGATGGAACAAAATAAATTTAGGCAGATGAGAGCATAACACAAACTAAGTGTAGTTAAGACTTTGGATATGGATAAGAAAGTTCAGTAAAAGTACTGATATCAGCTGAGGATGAAGCCATATAAAACCCAACAGGTAATAGGATGCTAAGTATGAGAAAAAACAACTTCGTTGTTTAGGAAATGGAGAGCGCTAACTTACGAGTAAACTAAGAATGTCTGCGCGCAAACATCAAAGCCTCGTAATCCAGACCTCAGACATGAAAATCATGAGAGAATTTAGCGATGGGCGAACTACTATGTAGATCATCTGTTAGTCTGTGTGTCGAATCACGACACGCCCCCAATAAAATAGCTAATGGTTGGATTTACTGACCAGATCCTCAGTTAGGGTTCAAAATCATATTCGACGTTAGTCGATAGGCTCCTTCAAGATTCGGCCCTTTAGAAGCCTTACTGCCACTGCCTCGTTACCGAGAAAAAAGGCCGTGGAGAAGGCCGTGAAGCCGTCTTGCTCTTCTCTCCTAGGCACGCGGTCCACCTTATAGCACGAAGCGTCAGGAACTAGACCGCCTACTGTTGATGGCGGCCTAAAAAAATTCGACGGGAGTCGAGGTTGCCACGAATATAGCGGAGACCAGTCCCAGGTTGTGGTTGAGGTTGAAGTCGACTTCCAGCCCTACTATCAGGGGATGATAGTGGTCAAAACTAACGCGAGGGTAGGTAGGGCTCGACGAGTCTTTCAGACGGATAACCATAAAATCAGCCTGCTATAATATAAAGGTTAGGTCACGTCAATGAGTTGTCTCGGATGCTTCTACCGATCAGGCCGACAAGTTGCGACGTCAAATATAGAACTAGCGAAGCTAGTATAGAATAAGTTCTGTATCAAAGCGTCGCTTAAAATAGTATTGAGATGTGACTTTAATGCCTGGTAGACCTAGGTAGTAGAAGGCCGTGCCTATTGGAGAATATATAATAAATGAATAAATGGTGGTGGGAGAAGTATGTAGTAACATTGATATAGAGAAAACAATAACAACGGCGAGGATGAGCTTCCCACTTAATTTTTTTATTTTTTTTTTTATATAGGTATATATATTTTTCGCTTCCAACTTGTCGCTTCTCAGCACAAATGGTATGGTTTAGGTACTAACGACCTGTCAACCTCCCCCTACACCTACCTTCGTTAAGAGACCTAGCCTACATGTAGATAGGTAGTTACGATAGGCTTGTCATCAACAAGTCCCTTCCAGCTCCCTAAATGCGCATGCAGATGGTACATAGCTACTACCTACACTACCTGACTACCTACATAGGGGGAGGGATACGCCGAAAGAGAATAGACTGGGTTCACCTTCAAGGATCAGGGATCACGGGTTATATATACGTAGAAGAGAAACCTTAGGGCATTGCCAAGTTCCGGGGTTTAAGATAATAATGCATTAGCAGCGTTGCTGACAATTGAACGACATGGATGAGGTAGGTACCTCTTACCTAGGTAGATTCACTATATGCATATAAAATAATAGTAAAACCCTTATGCTTAAGGTTCATTTAGACGTGCAACTTGTTAGTAGAGTATATTTTGTCCGCGCTTTAAAGGTAGATAAGGTATGTAACCGAGAGTTGGTCGTTTTTTAAACACCAAAGCCTATTAGAATTGATTAAATACCTGAGCGCTTCGTACATAGTACAGAGATAGGTACTTGAGTACATTGTGTGTTTATTGCGTGCATATCTTTCCAATATCCATTTATACAGATAACTATAAACTTTTTACCTAGTATGTATTAACACTACGCATATCAACGTCCAAATTTATTTATGATGTAACTAAGAGATTCCTTGGAATTGAATCTTCTTCAGTGTATATGAATAAAGATGCGAGAGTTAGGTGGCCGCGGGGGAGAAGAGGGGTAAGTATCCTAGACAGGAACCAGCACGACATGGTCAACTTCTACTCGGTATGATCTAAATGGCGTGGTGTAGTATGGGACAATAGTGTGCAAGCCTCTTAACGTTTCATCACATCTAATTAGGTACTTACTAAAGTCATGAAAACAGAAGACTCTTGGCTCAATACATAGTAGTAAAGTTTCTAGTAACTACCTAACATAGTAGCGATTTCAACATATGGCGTTTTACAGAAATATCTTGGCGTACCAAATCTTTTAAACGCCAATAAAAGACCTCAATTGGACCTAGAGACATAAACTAAATCGCGCCATAAGCAAAGCGAAGTTTTACCACAAGGAAATGGTAACGACGACGGTGGATATTTTAGATTTAAGCCAGCAAACATTTTAAAGGAAACGTTAACCTTTTGGTATATTATTGTTATAAGTCTTTAAGAGTCACTTAAAGCTTAAATGCAAGCAAACTATGATAAATCGTACCTACAGAAAAATCTGCGATAGTGGTGCATCATATGCATCATATACTTATTGCACGCTGTTAACGTAAAGGTCTTGTTTGAAAATGAGACCGATGGTGACGGTGATGGTGATAGATCAACCTAATCTCAATTCATCAACAATAATTCCTTCATGCTTTTCTAACTACGTAGGTATGTAGTAACTACCTAGGCTTCCACTTAACAACTTCTCAATGTTTGTGTATCGATGTACCGTAGCATTGGATAGTCCCCCAGAAAGGACCGGGACTCCGTTCCGAAGTCGTGGTATCACGCGAAGTGACCTCGATCCAGACAGTTTCAGGGGAAATCGTCGAAACTCAACCTCGAATCACAAGTCGCTTGACGATTCTGAAGTACTATGTAACAACCAGGCCCATTGTTTCAGATGCCCGGCTCATTTAGACTGGCGGCCTTCCCTAGGTATTTACTTGGTATCCTTAACCAAGGTGAGGGTTACCTGCTCGATAATCGGTACAAGGAAGGTCTTTGAAAGAATTATACTAGAGAAAACCTATCACATTCATTACCCTAGGTAGGTAATGATAGCGAAAAAAAAAAAATACCAATTCCCTCTTAGTTGCATGTGTATAATACAACCAATATTATTATTTTTCTGGGGCTAGGAGCTACATAGCATCAGGTACCTATTATTGAAATTTCTCGAGATCACTATTAGATGCCGGTACCTCGGAGATAACCGTATGCTCTGCCCAACAGCAATTAATACAAGCGATTACTTAACGTCCGGAAAGCTTCAAGGATTGATAGCGATATATTACCTACCTAGGTACTTAAGGACCTAGGTAGGTAGGCGTTGTAAACAGCAGTGATTGTCTTCGCCGCAGTGCAATTTCAAGTACCTAACCTAGGTACATACATTATGTACCTACCTACGTGCTAACCCCATTAAGGTTCAGTCAGGTACCCAGGTACTAAGCCCCGATCGCATTCGCGTCTAAGCTTACCTAACTAATATAAGTACCTAGGGTACTAATACGTACAATAGAAAAGTTTAAGCCTCCTCACCGGTGAGTTGCGTATTCCTTGTTATTATAACACCTGATATCTATAATAGCTTTCCCAGATTTGATCTACTACATAAGAAGACCGGGAAAGCCAACTGGGACTCGAGAGCTCCCCCCCCTCAATAAACTATCCAATGAACCCCTTTGTTTCGAAACATGTCAACTACCTACATACACACCTTAACGACGGCTAATAAGAAAGCACATACGCGTATGTAGGCCGTAGTTATGCATGCAAATGGTAGCCCACTAGCACCTGCAGCTTGCAGCTGACTCTGCCGAACGAACACCTGCATTGCAGTACTGCATCGCAGCTTAAGAGCGACATTTAAGCGCAAATCACACTGCTCCCGCGGTGGGAACTTGCAGGATGCAACAAGCTTGCAGATGCCAGACGATAACAGTTTGCTATTCACATCATTTCCTACGTAGTTTTTCTGCGTAGTTGATCACACACGTCGAAAGGTGCGCGAAGCGGTAACCGTCTCATATTTAGGCATTATTATTAACTGTTTATTTATTATTACTACTACCTACCTGGGTATATACCTGTTAGTTAATAAGTAATATGCTACATATGTGTATGTAGTGACCTGTAGTGTATGTGTGAGAATTCCCCAAAGAGGACTTTTCCCTAAATAGGATATCGTGGGTCTACGCTAGGTGGGTCTACGCTAGAAGCCCGGAAACCTTTGAGTGCATGGCCCGTAATCGATTACCTTGCTAGCTCTTCTTTCCGGGTACATAAGCCATGCAGCTACGTACGTACATAATGCACCTAGGCAGGTATCCACCTTTTTAGGAGATGTCAAAATTTCGAAATGCAAGCAATCATTCAATATGTACTTGAAATCCCGTCTTTAGCTTCCAGCGAAGGGCTTGTCGCGCTTGTCGCTGTCGTGATTACGTATGCCGCGATGCCGCGATGTCGCGTGGTCGTCAAGGTTTGCAGCAGGGATCTCCTTGCCCACCTAACCATTTTGAAGGTAGAAGCGCGCTATTCGTTTTTTTGGTCTTCTTCAGTTAAGCGACCGAGCAATACCCGATATGTACCTAGGTAGCTTCCTTGAAGATTTACTTGGGTATCGGTCGTCTTACCGACGGCAAGTTCCATCTTACCAAGGTGTAACAACCCAACCAAGCTGCCCAAGGCCGA